GTTGGAGACGAAAATGGATGACAGAAACGTGATCAGAACCATCGATTACCCCTGTGAACCAGGCTTCAGTGGGAAGATTCTAACAACTTCCTGCTGAATGGGGGTGGCGTTGGTACTACTGAGGGGGAGGGGGTTCATTTTTTTTGGAAAAACTATCATACCTTAGAACGATGCTTTCCAAATTTGCAAAACTTTGAGTAAGTGTTCAAGCCCCCTTGGAATTCCTGGCTCTAAGTTTTTTTTGCTCTATCCCGTCAATTCGGGTTTTCCCTTCAGAGGATACTCAAGTGCTGCCCAGCGGTTACGGTACTGAACACTTCAGAAGACTCGCTGAACATCAGTTGCTAATGAGGGATATGCTCCCTTGAGGATTTTCCCTTGTGAGGGTTCCTCCATAACTCTTTATCAAAGTTGTTGGTATGCTCGGAAGCACGTTGATCTCAAGCTCGCTGGACTACTCGACGTAAGGGCAGACATTCGAGAGTATTCGGTAAGCTGCACAGAAGCAGATCCTTCCAAGGATTTTTTAGAATTCTTCCGCAAAACGACTTCTTTTCCCAATTCAACTTTTTTTCAGCCCTTCTTTCTCAGGCGAAGTTTCAAACTTTGCTGTAACTTACCTAACCAATATCTTCCAGAGCCTGTATGCTGTATTCACCAGACTATTCTCTTCGTCGACCTTATGCATAGCCTTGAGATACACTCGAGTGGTATCGTTCCCCGGATCGTTACCCGGGTTCAACATTTACGATTGCTCACCAGATACGGAACGGTGATATCACCTGGACATAACCGGCAGGCAATACAGTCGGTAACCGCAAGGCAGACGGCTTGGGAAAGGGTCACGCCTCTTTACTGATCAGAGTTAGTTATACTTGAGAGTGTTGAGAAGTGCTCATGCCACAGTTCTGTCCCTTCTTCTGAATTCATTTCCATCTTTTTCGAGAAGAATCCATTTCCTCGATCTCAACAAAGTATCTTTTTGATAACGTACACTTCTTTCTCATGATTTCGACCAACGATTAGGCATTAGTTTTTTTTGAGGGGGCGGGGGCGGAGGGGGCATTCAGAGGACTCCTTGTGCGAAACTGGGATCATCTTATTAAGGACGGGATCATGGTGAGTCAAATAGGTTGACCTACCCAGGGACTCCCTCCTCTTTTAGGCTCAGACAAAAGCCTTCGTCACCGTTACGGTGGTCCCAGTATCGCACAGCAATCTCTTTACCTTTCCACCCTTCCTACCCATGGCTATTCCTATTAGCCCTGACTTCTCTCAGTTCATAAAGTTTCGAATCTAGGTGATTCCTGGATTTTATTCTTTTGGAGGCGGAGGTGGTGTAGTGACAAGTGGCGATTACCACTCGCGCGTCCTGGGTTCGAATCCCAGGTCGACACCCAGGCCAACCAAGCCTTCTACCCTCCGGGGACGGTGAAATTGGTACCAGATTCGTCTGGGAGGATAAAACACTGACTTGTACATCGGCTGGCCCCCGCAAGTCATTGTATAGGCCACATCGCAATAAGCCACTACGATTCTGAATGGAAGTAGAATGCGTGCCGCATCCCACAAAGGGATTGATTAACGGCGAACACTCTATCCTTTATCCGTTTACTCTTTCTCGATAGCCAGTTTCTCTTTTCGCCCTGTGGAACCTTGTTCGACTTGAAAGGGGCATTTTGCACTTTCGCTAGTTCCCCTTGCTAATTCCTTTAAACAACATGTCTTACTGAGACCGAAACTCTC